GAAAATGAATGAGCTTTTGCAAATTAAAGCCTCACCCGCTGAGGAATGGGGCGAGCTCGTGTGCTGCCCCTCCTTGCCTCGGCGGGGGAATCTAGCGCAGCGTCGCTTGCAAGGTGACTGCTTTGCTGAGATGTCTTGGGGGGCAGAGCCAGGTCTGTTCCCCCCCCGTCCCCTTCTCCATCATGTTCCTCCCTCTGCCCAGCGTTCTGCAGCTGGGCTCCGCGCTCTCCCGCCACCTCGGCCATTCACCTCCTCCCTGACATTGAATTGGACGGGTCTGGCGAGCTTTTCGCCAGACCCTCCCAGGCTCATTAATATTCTCCTCGAGTCTCACTTGAAGAGACAAAAGCCGCTGCCAGGCGAGGCGAGTTGGGAGCAGCCAGAGCAAAGCTTCTTCCCCCTAGAGTACTGCTTGCCATGGGGGGGAGAAGTGCAGATGTGCCAGTCACCTCCTCCCTGACATTGAATTGGACGGGTCTGGCGAGCTTTTCGCCAGACCCTCCCAGGCTCATTAATATTCTCCTCGAGTCTCACTTGAAGAGACAAAAGCCGCTGCCAGGCGAGGCGAGTTGGGAGCAGCCAGAGCAAAGCTTCTTCCCCCTAGAGTACTGCTTGCCATGGGGGGGAGAAGTGCAGATGTGCCAGGCAATCCTAGTCCGTGCCATGGAGAGGGGGGGGGGGGGGGGGTGGGGGGGGGGGGGGGCAGATGGCCAAGGGGGAGTGACAGGGACAACTGGCAGGGAGTGGTGGGGGGGGGGTTTCAGATGGCAGGGAGCGAGCCAAATTGAAGGGCGCGCCAGTGTTCAGTGCTTGCATGAAGTGCCTGTCAAGGTTCCTGATGCAGCGTTGTGGCCGCTTGTTGGTCCCGGGATGTTAGAGAGACAGGGTGGGTCTTCTATTGGACCAGCTCGGGTTAGCCGAGGGGGGAAACAGAGCTCGTCTTCAGGTGGCTTTGAGTGAGAGAAGGAAAGACGCTGCCTGCTTACTACACTCTTCTGTGGGACTAGCTGTGGGTTGGAAGCTCATACAGCCCAGGGCAGAGGCGAAATCACTTTGTCTTCACTTCTCAAATGACCTGCCCAAGCTGGAGTGCTAGGCTGGAGATCCTTCATGCGTCCCCCCCTCCCCCCTTTCCAACAGATTAATTAGCAAAGCCTCTTCAGCTTTGGAAACTGAAAGAATTTATTTGGGATTGTTAAAGCAGAATCGTTATTACAGCTCTCCAGTGTCAAGACAATGTCAAATGCAGGCTACCCATGTTGGGAGAGTCCATAAGGACTGCATAGCGTATGGAATGTGGCTGTTTAAAATCCAAAAGAGCTGCTGAGACGTCATGGGCAGTCAGTTATAGGAACAAATATGTCACATTTGCCTGCTTCTGAACTCTCAGGAGGAGTGGGAGGAGAGGAGAGGGGTTTGCAGCCAGACAGGCCAAAGGTAAAAACTCAGACAGAGCTTTGAAGATGCTAATGTGGTCTCAGTAATAACATGGTTGAGATGGATTTATGTGGCGGAGTGTTTTGGGGGGAACCATGATCCCAAACCCTTTGTATTCAACATGCAGGACAATGCTAACTTGCAGCTATTAAATGCTAATATATTAATTGCCCTATAAGAGTGTTAACAGCTTACTGGGCTGTGACATGTTTATTTGCCAGTTGTATCAGTTTCAGTTAATACTCCCCCCCAATAATCTTTCTCTTCCCTCTTCTCTTCCTCAAGTACCTGACCAATGGCTCAACCACAGCCTTTGAATGCCTGCGGCTACTGTCTTCTTAAAGGGCTGCACATGTGGAATATCTGACAAATTAAATTCACTGCAGTGGAAGATGATAGTCTGCAGGGGTGTGCCCCTTAGCACTGTGCTGCTCATGCTTATAAGCATCTCTAAAGAAATGGACTCTTTGGGGATAACTCCAGAAATGAGTGCCTGGTGGTTACATGAGTATGCATTGACTTGGATGCTTGAAAATTGAATGAGATTAAGCCACTGATAGGTACTAGAGTGGTATGCATTTCTTTTATTGAAGTGATCTCACATACCTAGATGTAGCCTGTCTTTGTCAGATATTTCAGTGTAACATCCCTCTTTCTTTATATGACATGCAGTTTGTTTGCTAAACAACACATGTTCAAAATGATCTTGTCAGCTTGATTACAATTTCTGCTTCTGTTTAGTAGATCATGAAAGAACTGTTCTTCACCCTCCCCTACCCCATCCCAGCTGATTTCCCCAAAGGACAAACTTTAAAAATGAATTGCCATTAAAAATATATCCCAAAATATATATTGATATGTTGAACTGACTAGTTCTAAGTGTCATCTTCTGTTAGGCTGTGAGTACACTACAGAATTATATCAACTAACTTATGTTGGTTTACAGCCACCATGGCTGTTACATTGCTTGTGTGCATGCTTACTTGGTTTCTTGTGTTGGTAGCACACATTCTCTACAGGAGTGCTTTTATCAATTGTATTGTCAATGTGGGTGTTGTGGGATGGCTCTTGGGAGCTAGGAATAGTCAACATAAACAACGTAGTGTTTACTGATCTGCATTGACAAATTACACTGACTGTGACTAGTATCAGAGGGGTAGCCGTGTTAGTCTGAATCTGCAAGAACAACAAGAAGCCCTGTTGCACCTTATAGACTAACAGATTTATTGGAGCATAAGCTTTCGTGGACAAAGACGAAGTGGACTTCTCATTGTTCTTATTGACTTGCCACTTGGTGTAGGAAGGCATTTACTCCAACAGGAGCCAAATTCAAGTGAAGACACATCCACAACTAGATCAACCTAACCATGTAGTATAGACTAGGGGGTAGTCCTCTTTAAATGAGTCATTATGATGCCGCAATTACACTCTAAATGAATTTGCATAAATTCACTGACTTTTAATCGCAGCTAAAGAGAGGAAATAATGAAAATGTTAAGCACTCTGAAAATTGCACTTCTCTTTATATAGTACTTAAATGGTAGTTAATTGCTAAAGATGTAAACCAGTGTAGTCAATGGTACCATACCTCTTTCTCTTAAATGATGATACCTTTATTCAATCATTTTGTACAGACAAGAACAGTGGCTGCATAGTATTTATTTACTACTGTATATGGCTGATTTCAAACAAATGCATTTTTGTGTATATATGGAGCTAGTCCTGTTATTCATGCAAAGTGTGCAGTACCTTTGCAGGTAAAATGAATTACAAACTCATTGCATTTGATTCTCTCTTACACACACACACACACACACACACACACACACACACACACACACAATCACTTCCTTCAGAAATAGGATTTGCTTGTCTTTCTTTTACCAGAATAAAAGGGGCAATGGTACAGTTTACTTTACATTAGTAGCTTACTTTTGTATCACTTAAATAATGATAATCTTGTATTATAGGAATGTCAAAGGACCGTAAGAGAATTAACTGTACATTGAATTTCAGGGGAGAGCAATTCATTTCCGTGGGCAATTCATTTTTGAAATTCCTAATTTTGACACTGAGTCATGGTGGTGTTGTGTGTGAGAAAGAAACAGACAGTAAATACTGAGTTTCAGTATGTGACTTCATTTTCTGTAGCATTTCGAAAACGTCTTATGTAAAATGTCAGTCTAGTCCCTGAACTGAATAAGGGAAAGAATGATAGCTTGCACTGCCTGATTTTCCATGATTTCTAAAGCAATTGTTTTCCACCTCCTTCTTTTTTTTTTTTTCCATCAAAAGATTCTATTTAACAATATACTAAAATGATGCACAAATTGGTGTCGCAGTCTGAAATGCTAATCAGGTTAGTAAACCTATTTCATCCTTGTGGCTCTGGGACTGCCAGGAAGCCTGGTTTGGGGAAAATTATCTGATATGTCCTTTTGTACTGTACCAGGTGCTCTAACTGTCTAATGTACATTATTATGGCTCTTAGGTGTCCCAGTAAACACTTTTGATAAATGTCAACATTTCTTACCTTATGTCATAAACACCAGCTGCTGGTGCTTGTGCTATGTCACATTTATCACTAAAGATACTTTAAGCCAATATAATTGTAGCTGTTGTTTGCTAGTGCCCCTCTGTCTGGCGCTTTTGTTTTTAAACATCATAGTAGTTTCTTCTTCTTTACAGTCCGTGCCTCTATTTTTGCTAATGTTTGCTTGGGTCTTCATAATACAAAGTGCCTAATGGCTTATCTTCTGCAGCATTTTTGGTATTAGTTGAGTATGTCCAATATAAGATTATGATAATATCCAGAAGTAGGAATCTACAAAGGACCGATCACTAGGTCAGATTGTGTTCCTGTTCCAAAAGGTTGCTTATTGTTTTTTGTTAATAACTTTTAATTTGCAAACAAGCAAAATGTTATCACAGTGTTGCAGATAATGACACATTCCTTAGCTTGTATAGGGACATTTTTGGATCAAGTTTCCCTGCTAACAATATGGTTTTGGCTTTTTGTGTTTTAAAGAGATTTTATGTCTGTTTTGAGCAGATTAGAAATAAATGAATTTGATTCTACTCCAACATATTAAATGACATTTGGTGCTCATGAAGGATACTGGCTGCTTGACTGACATCACTAAGAGCTTTAAGGTTTTAATGGGGGTGTCCATGGTAAGAAATTTTATGTCATTGTTCAGCAATTGTGCCTGAAACATTGCAGTAAAATAGATGCTAATTTTCCTAGTGTAGCTTTGTCCAGTTATCTGATATAGCACAGTCAGTAACAATGGAAGTTTCCTCCCACTGCCCTGCCAACATACCTCAATACTCTTTAGGAACAACTATTTCTAGGAATCTGAAAGTGTTCCAGTCTCTATGTACGTTTGAACTATGGCTGCTTTTCTGAGTATACTAACAGTGCCAGCCAGTACCAATATTATTATTAGCTATGGAGCAAATTCTATGGTCTTTAATTGAACAAAATTCCTATTGATTTTAAAAGGTCTTGTT